TGGACAAACGTAGAGTGGGACGAAAAACGATTCTGATGTTTATATGTGGGAAGGCTACAGAGCAAAGGCGTTGAATTTGGGTACGGATTTGGAGAGAGTGTCTTCCGGTATATGGAAGACAAAAGTATACCATTTTCTTAGATACAAAATGGATTAATTCCTTGGGTTGAAAGGTTTTATCAAGAAAGAGTCGAACACAACGATAAAAAGACGAGTAGGATAACCGTTCTGGTTAAGGATTTTTCTATAAAACTCAATCTGAGCATGGAAATTCTCATAGTTAGAGCAAATATTGAAAAAGCGGTGTAATAGTGAATATATTAAACCACGTTTAAATTGTAGAGGAGTGGAGCTATGGAAATTATTTAAAAGCCCTGTGAATGTAGGTTGGGTTAATGTAGTTAAAAGCCCTGTGAATGTAGCACTGCCCACTAGCTTGGGCAGTGCTGTAAAAGTTACTTTTTTTTTGAACTAGTTCCAGTTTCAGTTACATGCTCAAAAATTGGAACTAGTTAATACACCAATCATGGTGCTACAGTCGTGCCAATAGAAGCGTTCCGAAAATTGTTGACCAGTTCATTTCCTAACTTCGAGCAGTTCCTCTGATCAATTCGTTAAAATTTTGATACCATATATACACCGTTGAGTGAGTAATGTGATACCATGATGCACCCACCAGGATTGTACCAATGATACTCTGTGTCAACGGTGTATTAACGGTGTATCAGCGGTAACACGGCGTACACCACAGCTTGATTGGTTGGTGCTAATTACATTATATATTCTCGTTGATATATTTATAGTGATCACAGCTATAATTAGATTGTTGTTGTCGTTGTGTGAAATTTAAATTTCTCCTGCGACATTTTGATTGGATACTAAATATAAAGTTTGCTGTGGGTGGAAAGCGATTGGATTAAGGATTGTGTCAGGCTATTATTTGTAAAATAGAGTCTGATCGCAGGTTACCTATTCCGTGACTTACAGAACATTGTACTTGCATGGCTGCATGCCCATTAAATACGGCGAAATGAATTCACATGCAATAATTAATCATTTGTCATTTGTAATTCGTAGCTGTCAATTTGTATTTCGTAGTTTTTAACGCGGTAATACCGTTTACCTAATCTTGTCCCCATGAAAAGGGATAATTGGACAACTAATTTTCGTTTTGTTTTTTTTTCATTTCAGCTTGGAGGGACTTCATGAAATTATTTTTCCAGGGCAAAAGTTTGAGGTTAGTTCTCCGGGCTTAGAGGGTAGACATCTACTCGGAATAACCTTTGTTTTATATGTGATATGATAGTACATATTTTTGTGTGTGTTTTCGTGCTTGGTTAGAGGAAATATTTGGTAGGAATTTAATGTTTAGAGTGCAGGAAATGGTATTTCCAGGCTTTAAATTTGAAATACCTTCCGGGAGGCAATATCTGAAAAAAACCGGTAAAATGGCTATCTTTATGGCGATGTATTATTTATATCGAAGTAAAAACACGAATTTTGGGCACACTCCTTACGAACCGCGAGGTGGAAAACAATAATGGAAAATGGTAACATGAGATTAAATTGTTTTAATCTATCCGCACATTCATTAATTTTTTTCAAAATAATTTTCTCCATTTTCTGCGATGGATAAATGTAAATTTATATACAATTCAGTGCAATAATATACAGTGCTTGTGTGGTTATCAAATACTTGCTAGGTTTTTCGATCTTAATTTCCATCCATGATCTGTACTATCCTGGGTACAGGCGATTCCACAACACATTTTCGCTTTGACCAACAGATTTACGCGCTATACCCCGAGCGGAGGGTCTATAAATGATATATTATACCGAAAAACTAAAATGTTCATGCAAAATTTAAAACGTAAACATGTACATATTTTATTAAGTGTTTTAACTCGTGATATTTTATAACATTTCTATAAACAATTCTATAAACCATCTTTCAAACGTTCGTGTTCGTCCAAAATTCTTTTAATTTCTTCATAAATATACACCACGGCACACGCATTGTGCTATAGAACTATATGGCATGTTACAGTGATATCACCATACACATACTTTATATATCTTGATGTTCAAACAATTTCATGGTTGGTAGCCAATAACGTACGTACGATATGGTACGTACGTACGTTAATGGCTCAGGGGTTTTGCCGCGGACAAGGTGGTAGTTTGGTTGGTCTTTGAACTGCGCTCGGCTTTTTCTCCGTGATAACGACCGGCTTTGTTAATGGAATGGGTGGTTTTCCACATGTTTTAGCAGGCACTTTTCCACTCTAAATAAAAATATATAAAAATCATTCATAACAGTGGCTTTTAAAAGCGTGATGACTGGAAAGGAAAATGCATAATGAATCGCTCCCTGCCGGCAACATGGTATTCGAACCTCAATTACACCGACGACATATGGCGGGAAATTTATTCTGTCTTGGGTGATGACGTCATAAATGGGAAATTACCCTGGATGGGGATGACGTCACTTCCAGTGCATACCGATTTCTTGCATAGTAATTACTTCCGCCGCCAAACGTCAGTGTTAAGTGTCTTTTCTGATAATGATTGAGGACCTAGAAATTTTATCATCCCCAATCTGGTAAAACGTGGATATGTCTTTAAAAGTGAAAATAAACATATTTTATACCATATTCTGAAAAAATTAATATTCTGTGCTGGGGCGATCCAAAAATGCCCTTATAAATCAGCCATTTTGAATTCTAATGTGGAGTCACTTTTTTACTGATACAGGAGCACGCATTCTAGGTCTAATATTTCAATGTCGTAAACACAATTTCACCTTAAATCGATCGCTCATGCGACGGCCATTTCGTTCGCCTTACCTCATATTTTTCAACATAGGTAGTTGGCACTTGTCCTCTCTAAGTAAATATAAGCAAGTCGTTTAGCTTTAGGACGGTACTCGAAAACATTAATTCACTCTTAAAATTACTTAAGTAGTTTCGGATAATGAAGCTGGCCCGTTTCTATATGTCCCAAGATGAACCTGTGCTTTTTTGACGCAACTATTTCCGTCTCGTAACTACCTTGGATCATGGGGTTTGCTGTTGCTAAAACTTTGACATTAGAAAACCTCTGAACCCAGGGTAACTCGTAACCACCTTGATCAGAACTTGTGAAGAGCCGGGTTAGTGCGTGAATTTTTGCGTGCATGGAATGGTACAATTTGTATAGAAAATTACACGGTTCGAGAAGTATTAGTGAAAAATCGCATGCGTGTTTGGCGAAATATTTACAATATTGCGAGTTCTTTTGGCATGCACTGTGCTAGTACGAATTGTGTTGATTTAATCAAGGGAGAATATAATATTGCATTTTAAAGCAATATTGTGGATATTTTAAAAAATAAAAGACCTTTTTGGGACTTTTGATTTTTGACCGAATTTTCCTCACTGCTCGAAATTATGAACTATCAACAAACCGCACATCACAATTTTACCTCTTCAAATGTTTAACACGTACCTTGTCATTGGTTATTATTGTTGACCATCCATCTTTTGCTGATTCTATCACTGTGATGATGTCACCAGCATGGACAGTCACTTCATCTGCATTGTTTGCAGTGTAGTTATATTTTACTCGGTATGTTTCACCATAATTGGATGACACTGTTTTACCTTGAGGTGAGTTTAGCCTTTTTATGGGTCTCAATCAAAAGGAACTTCTAAAATTACATATTGACTCGCTCAAGATTTCATTAAACTAATTTTTTTCAAACTTGACCTTTTCCCCCAGCCAATGATCAATTAAAATCCATTGTGATAGCTATCATGAACCTTTCTATAGTATTACCAATAAAGTATTTTATAGTGGTCTTTTTCTACTTTGTTATTGTGTGGCATAACTTTGGTCATATGAATGAATTTCTATTTTAGATTCATGAGAAGTGTGGCATACCGTCAATTTATACAACTGGTATATGAGCATGTTGGAAAACATAGGATTCCACTTCCTGCATGTGCCTACCATGCAATAAGGAGCAACTTCCAACCCAAAGACATCAATGAATATTTTGTTGGTTTTCAAGATGAAGACATGGATAACTAAGAGTGATTACCTCATTAATGCATAAAGCTCTCCCCTTGACAAGTAAAATTGTCTGGTGTTATACAGAGTAAAATAATAAGGTAGCACACTTTTTGGAGACATCTATTCGTAGTTAGTTTGTTTGGTTAACCCTTTAAGTGGCAATGCACCCTGATGTGCCCTACTTTAGTATTTAAGTCCATCTAACGCCAGACAATTTTATTCACTAAGTAGAGAGTGCTGCCACTCAATGGGTTAATCAAACAAACTGACCACGCATCTCTTAACCCTTTAAATGGCAATGCACCCTGATGCACCCTACTTTAGTATTTTACTCTGCTAATGCCAGACGATATTTCACATGTCAAGTGGAGAGTGTTGCCACTCAGTGGGTTTGCACATTGCTCTTCCCTTAACCTATCAATCTGTATGTCATTAGACAGAGTAAAAGAATAAACCGGAGTGCATTGTGGCTTAATCCACTAAGCTCAAATGCAGCCTAATTATTCTGTACCTCTGTTTAATGACATACAATTTACATACTTTATTTGTCAAGGAAAGAGCCTTGCCCATTAGTGGGTTAACCAAATTTTCCATCTAATGCCAGAGGATTTTAATTGGCAAGGGTGTGACAGCCTTGTGCATTAGATACTTGTAATTAACTTGAACAAAATAACTACTGTAATTTTACATATTTTTTGGACAGTCCTTTACATTTTTTTGTCCTTTCATGGGATTTTTACATGATCGACAATATCTTGGCTTTCGTAAAACGGTTCGAGTCATTGAAGATTCATTCACTAAAACACAAAAAATATGTAATCAGTTGATATCCTCAAAAATTTCACAAGAGAGCACAATGTAAATATTCTTCTCTTGATAATTAAATGTATTTTACAACTGGTCTTTGCTTATAGAATATACCTTGCACAGTCCTACGAACTTCTTGTACAACCATGGATTTCCTCTTTTTCCACAATTTACATGAATGTTTACGGGGTTTACGTGAATCGGAAACAGTACACATGCAAGACCCTGATGCTACGAGCGGTGGTCCTTGCTGCCGATTGTATCAAGCAAAGATGGGAAATTGATAATCTAAAAACAGAAATTACTTGTCTTAAGAAATTTGTTTATCGCGAAGGAGACAAAGCTGACA